ACTTGGTGATGACTGCACAACCTTGTGAACTTTACACTGGATTGTATAATTTAAATTAGTGAATTGTAGGTATGTGAATTCTATCTCAATAAAGCTGAAATTTTTTTAAAATCAATTTAAGATTACAGGAGGAAAAGCAGTGGGATTTGTTGGCTCAGTGCACGTTGCTTTGGCAGCCCACTAACAACCTGATGTACGCCCTTACCACCAACTCTTCTTTTTGGCCCCGCCGTGCCGCCTGCGGGATCTTAGTTCCCTGACCAGGGATTGAACCTGGGCCAAGGCAGTGAAAGCGCAGAGTCCTAACCACTGGACCGCCAGGGAAGTCCCACCCTTATCACCAACTCTTATTTTGATTCTCCCCAGCAGAGCATTCTCTGGTCTAGATCCCTGATTTCATTCGTTAGAAATGAGCAGATCCCAGATGAGAAGACTGAGAGCAACAGAATGGGAAGGGACCCCCTTTAATACAGCCCTCTACTGCCAACTAAACAGTTTTATTTAAATTATTTAAAGAGAGTAGGAGTTCTGCGTCTGACCTAAAGCAAGCCCACTACTGCCTCTGTCTTCTGCTGCTACAACCCAAACCTCTGGACAAAACACAAAAAGCAAACACCTGAGGACCCTGGGGAGTTGACTCACTACAGTGGATTGTGGGGGAAGTGGCCACGGAGGAAGGGGCCGTGGGGAAAGGAGTTTCTCTCTCACAGCCTCACCCCGAGTGTGAGCTCCTGTAGCAGAGCTGTGTGGTAGCTAAAACGCTAACAGAAACACCTTCTTTCTGAAGAACCAAGGAGAGAAGCCCCTAAGTCCAAAGAACGTGGATGTGGCATCTTTGGGGATTCCCCCATCTCTTTTCTCTCTGGTTTTGCCCCAAGGCAGTCAGTCCCTATTCACAGAGCTGCATGGTGGTAGGGATGCCAGCAGGTGAAACCCTGAGAGAAACCCCATCTTCTCGTCAGAGGACCAGGGGACAAGGGCCCTGAAAGCTAGGAATCACAGGGATGAAGAGAGGGAGGAACTGGAGACGGGGAGCCCGTGATACCACGTGTGACCCCGCACGTGGCCCAGGTGCAGACTCAAAGCAGTACAGCAAAGGCTCAGGTAAGATTTCAACCACTGCCAGCTCAGACTAACCTCTGGGTGGCACATGTGCAGGGCAGTCAGAGAAGCACAGCAAAGGTTTTGGAAATTGAACTGACACTGGAATCACCACCCACAGAAGGCAAGACACAACTTTCAGTCTGAACCTAACCAGGGGGACTGCCTGTTTAAAACAAAAACAAAACTCAACATCCTCCAGAGGATTATGTAACAGGATCGAAAGTGGACACAAAATGTCCAGGATACATCCAAAATTACTTGACATACCCCCACCCCAAAAGCCCCAGGAAAATGTGACCCATTCTCAAGGGAAAATGTCAACCTTAAAATAACCCAGACTTTTGGAATGATCAGTGACTTTAAAGCAGCTATTGTAACTATATTCCATGAGGTTAAGGTAAAATGATAAGAAAGAATGAAATTCTGAGCAGAGAAACAGAAACAATGGAAATTCTGAACCAAAAAAGTATAAAATCTGAAATAAAAAATTCACTAGATGGGTTCAACAGCAGAATGGAGGTGACAGAGGAAACAGTTCATGAACCCAAAGTTGAATCAGTAGATATTTGCAACTTGAAGAATGTAAGGCTTAGGAAAGAAAATGAATAGAGCTTCAGTGACCTGTGGGATAATATCAAAAAGTCTGTTCTTCACATCACTGAAGTCCCAGAGGAGAGGGGAAAGGGGATCAGTGTGGAAAAAAATATCTGAAGAAATAATGGCCAAAAACATCCCAAATTTGGTGGAAGACATAAATTTACAGATTCTAAATGTTCAGTGAATCCCAAAGGTTAACCTAAAGAAACAAAACAAAAAACTCACAGTGGTCTATTTCCTGCAGACTTTATCTTGGTAACCCATTCAAGTTTCTCATAACTGTACTAATTCCTAAGATTTATTTTTGCCTTCATTGAACAAATACAGACTTTTATTTAATTGAAAACACCATCCAATTCAAGAAGCACCATTACTTTATGTAATATTTTAACATGCTGCCATTTGTAAGATGTTATTATAAAAGACACATCTTGATTTTCATAGATGTGAAAATGTAAAGAAAAAAAAAGTGCATCTTAGAATAAATGCAAAACATACAGAGTTAAGCCCTCTCTGAGTACTAGACAGACACTGTGGTAAGACACAAGCATCCTGTCCTAACACCGGATGCACACCGCTCCCTCCTCTAATGTTACTTACCACTCTTTCTTCTTGGCTTAGCAGGAAAGGACAAAATATGCATTAAAAAAACCTCATTGATCTGTAGTGTTAAAACTCTTGTGCAGAGCCCCACCTTTATAACCCCACTTTATAACCCTTCCCTCCCAGCGAGGGAAAAGTACAGTCCAACCATAACTCAGTTCCCACCCTGATCATTCTCTTAATCTTTATCAGACTCTACTTAACCTCTAGTGACAAGCTAGGTGAGCTATTTTTTTCATTTTTAATTTCAGCTTATACCCACCCCCCAAAAAAACCCCAACTCCTGAGAAAATTCCACCCATGCTATTAGCGAAGTTACTCAAGCTGATTTCCTTACTTTAAAGAAATATTATTTTTGTTTTAACCTTGGACAGTTTTATGTACCTTTAGAGTCCATTTCATTCTCAAGTTATTTATAAAGTACTAAGAGAATGCAATAGAAGTTCAGTTTTTTAAATAAAAATGGAGGTTCCAAGGTTTTTAAACTGCATCTGTCATGAAGGGATAGCCACCTAGCTCTCTTCATAGTATTTGCCCCCTCTGTCCCACTTCTGAAATAAAACATAAGCTGTACAAGCCTGGGTGTGCATCTCTGATGAGTTCCTACTCATAGCTATTAAGTCTCTGGGAGAAACCCCACAAGACATACCTCTATGCACTTAAAAGTCTAGAGTCCTTATTCCTTCCTTTTTCCAGATGTATAGTGTTTTTAAGCCCCATGTTTGAAATTCATATTGCTAACACTGTTAATGTGATTCATAAAGAACAATCTTATATATGATGGCAAGCCTCTGTGGTACCAGTAGTGGTCAAATAGCTGGCACACAGATCTAGAAGTGGCCCTGATTAAATGCCATTTTGGATAGCCCCCTCCCCAACTCCAAGTCCCAAGTCTATTCTTTTCATCCAAAAAGACAAAGGGTGTAAAAAAGAAACACAAAAAACCGTAACTTTGGTTTACTAATAAAATGGATTTTAACATGGTCAGATTTGGCCTTCAAAATGACCAGAGAGCCCTTTTACACTGTGCATTTGGCTTCTCCTCTGGCATCGGGGAGCATGGTCAGGCAGCCCTGCTCCAGAGGAAAACATCAGCTTTACCAAGTACGTACAGGCCTCCTCACTGACAGCAGGATGTGCAGCTGACAATGGTCATGACAATCTGGCTGTAACTGTGCTTCTAGAGGTAATTAGGCTACGTTATATAGAAAGCAGAGGTCTCTTCTCTGGAACACCATTTTGGTTTCCTGGGAGCCTAGCTGTGGTTGAACACCTAAATGGTCATGCTGTCAACAAACTCTGAAGCATAACCTACAATCCCAAACCATTCCATTTGGATGCCCCACAGAGCCCTCTGCATTTGCTCTCCTGGAAAGCGAAGAGCTGTTAGGTCGCTGCAGGTAGATCCTATCAGATAAGCTTGGAGCCTTTGTACAGCTCAGTCAGAAATGAAAATGGGAGAGTAAAACTATAAACTGATGTGTTTCATTTGCTGTGCCACAAGTGGGGCCACTTATCTAAGCCTAGTTTGTTTTCTTTTTTTTTAAAGAGAAAAACTGCCTGGACATACGCTGAGGAGTTCAATTCTCAAGCATGAGAAGTATCAGCTGTTTCAGGAGGGCTCGAGGGAAAAAAGATCAGGTATTTTCTTTCAATAAAGCATACTCACATCTTTTTGCTCTCTGGGAGGGAGAGAGTAGTAGTGAAGGTCAGAAGTTGAAAATATTATCTGACAAAATAATTATTTTTGCAAGCTGCTGCACTGGTATGACAGAGGTCTGGGATTTGGCACAAAGGAGGACCCGCCTCACGATCTGATACCCCACCAAGTGGCCCGCCACCTGCAGCCCGGGGCTGGCCAGCGGAGGGGGCGCCAGCTGAACCTGGCCTCCAGCCATGCTACCTCTCTTCAGGGCCCTGGATCAGACATGACAGATAACCAGTCAAAAAAAGAAGAAAAAAAAAAAAAAAGGAAGAAGAAAGAAAGAAAAGGAAAAGACAAGGGGGAGAGGGAAGAGAAAGGAAAAAAGCCTAAAATTTGGACTCAGTCTTTTCAAACACTTTAATCCTTCCATGCTGATCGGTCCTGGAGCGGCCAGAGCTGGCACTGGACCCCGTACCGGGAAAATCCGACTCCCTAAGCCAATACGTTAAAGGGAAGACTGCTAATCAGCTAAATAGAAACTGGAATCTGTTCACATGAAGTCTCTTTTTTTCCCCCATCACCGGAGGGACACCATAGTGGTCTGAAACACACTCTTGACATCATTTGGCAGGCAAACCTATTTTGCTGAACATGATTCATCCCTTAGGTTGTTGTTTTTAATATTAGAAAGTGAGCTTTTAAATGCCAAACAAATTTTACAGCAGGGGGACAAAAGATATTCCAAGTGGTCTCACTGGACCTTCCACCAACTGCGTCCACCAAATGGCCTAAAAGACAACCTTCCCATGGTGTTTCAGAAATGAGGCAGAGATGCAACTCCATCCAACTATTACCTAATACAAGACTTTGTTCTCCAAGTTCACAGGGATGGTATTTATGGGATCAGGGCTGAACTCAGGTGGGCAGAGATGTGAGTGAGAAGTGAGGAGGGTGAGTTGGGAAGGAAATCAGTGAGCTCAGTGGAGGCCGAGCGGCCAGGCCTCAAGAGAAGCTGCCTGTGGCTCTAAGATGCGACTCTACTGACACCTACCTCCTGTCCATGTTGCCACTGACCATGAGATTGGGAGGGCTGTCCCGGAGGTTGACGCAGGTGAAGTCGCCAAGCGCGTTGCCCAGCTTCGAAAGGCAGCGTTCTGCTTCCAGGCTATACACCAGGATCTGGGGAGGAGGAAAAACACGTGGGTGTGTGTTAGGGGCAGCAGGCCCGCACAAACAATTTCCACCCACCGTCGCCCCGGGGCACGGTCACAGCACCAGCTCCCATTAGAGAAGAGGCTCTAATACTCCATTTCCTGACCCCTTCCAGGTAACGACAGTATAAGGATGGCTCTTAGAACAACAAAAGGAAACACAAGAGAAAAGAAAATCCAAAGAATTCCAGGCCAAGGTGCAAACAAACTCATAGGACACACAAAAAATGCCAAATGAGGAAATTCGGTATCCCAATTTCTTAACACAGAAAAAGAAGCATGGAAACTAAGGGTCACTGCTTCTGATTAGTTAATGGGGGAGGCTAACAAGAAGTCTGTGTACAGGGTTCTCTCTTTTCCCCCTCTGTATTTATACCACAGAAGGTAAAAAGAACAAACAGTATAAGCATCCAGGATGATGAAGCTTGTACAGTTAACCACTAGATGATTCCTTCAGATTAAACTACAAACCAAAACATAAAGTCTTACTCCCAAACGTTAAAAAAAAATTTTTTAATTGAGGTATAACTGATATTCCCCAACATTTCTCTCTTCAGTCACTCTCCAGTAGCTAATTATAGTAAGCTCTGTTCCATAAGGTATGGAGACAAGTTAAGAGAGTATCCTTGATCTCTAGACAATGTATTCATTACATTTGAACACTGCCTTTTCTCCAGCAAATGGGGAAACAAGGATGATTCATAAGGAATCTTTCTGAAGATTATTTAAGTCTTTTACTAAAAAGATCTTAGTAATTCAATTAACATTAAGTGCTTGCCATGGGTCAGTAATTGTTGTAAGTACTGAAGACATAGTCCTTGCACCCAAATTCACTGTTCAAAAGCCTCCTCATTTACACACACACACACATGTGAGCATACATTATATTCCGTCGATCATGTGGTTAAAATTAATCACTGAACTCAAAAGTTTTACTGTTAATATTTTGTAGAGTCTCCTCTCTTAGCCCACACATGAAAATGATGTGCTATTTTTTCTTGTTAACCTATACATTTACCAATTATCAGTGTACAGATTCCTATTTTAGTACTGAGAGGTTAATAAACTGACACCACCTTGAAAACCATTGATCTCATTGTTGACACATATTTCTAACAATTTAATCTTTGGAAATTCCTAATAGTCAAAACAACACTATAATATTAAGTAAAATTGCTCATGGTATCTGAAAGGAAAGACAGCAATTTCAAAATGTAAAATGCCTTCTTTTTTTTTTTTTTTGCATTACGCGGGCCTCTCACTGTTGTGGCCTCTCCCATTGCGGAGCACAGGCTCCGGACGCGCAGGCTCAGCGGCCACGGCTCACGGGCCCAGCCGCTCCGCAGCATGTGGGATCTTCCCAGACCGGGGCACGAACCCGTGTCCCCTGCATCGGCAGGCAGACTGTCAACCACTGCGCCACCAGGGAAGCCCGTAAAATGCCTTCTTAATCCCTAAAGACCATAGAGAACAAGCTAAATTTTATTTTTATTTTCATGCAGTTGAAAATAAAAGTTTCTGAGAAAATTTCAACTGTAAAATATCCAAAATAAGATTCTTCTTCCAAGTATGGGCATAGAAATAAATCAAATCTTCTATCTACAGTAAATATCCTAAAAATTACATAAAAATCGGTTCCTGGAGGGAGAAAAAAAAAAAAAACACCAGCAACGTCATTCATGGTCTACCCTGAAAGTAACATTCTGCACTTATATATCACTATACAGCTTTCAAGAGGGCTTCTGGACTCAATCTCTTCTTCTTTTTAAAATACTTCAACATCTATAGCAGGAAGAAATGTTCCATGATAAATATAAGAATTTTATAAGAATATAAGAATTAAAATCTGATATTGAGTCTGTTCCTATGTCTTTATACTTTTTTTTTTTAGAAGTTCTTTTTTGACAAGAGGATAGATCATTTCTGAGTGAAACAGTGGGATCTAATCCCTCTTCAAAAAGACTGCAAATTCATCGTATAAGTTAGTAGTCAGGAGTCAAGTATTTTCTAAAATGTTTAATAATTCAATGAATCAGAACTATCCAAAGAGTACCTTGACCATTATGTTTAGTTAAAGACCGCAGAGATCAGAAAACACATTACCCATCTCAGAGGCGGTTCTTCCCATGTTACGAGTCCCTCAACAACCTTTAGCATCTCTCTCTCCCCTCTGTGCTCTCTCTCTTTTAATAAGGTTGAGCAAATGGGACTTCATTTTATCTGATTGCCACAGACTAGTGAGATTAATTATTCATGCTCATACTCTCCCTCTTGTTAAGACCATGCATTAGACTAATTTTTCTCTTTATTGCGCTAGTTGGGTGAGTCTCAACCCATGGCCACTTGACTCACTCTCAGAAGTGTATGGATATGCTGGAAAGAAGGAAAAAACGACCCATAGCTAAAATCTTGGAGAAAATGTTCTGCACTAATGTGACCGCCAAATCAATAGATGTTGCTGGGGATATTTTTCTTAAGTACCACATGTACATTACAAAAGGGTTTAAACAGTGATTAAGGCGCAAATCTGTATAGAATGCGATGGATGTTTCTTTAAGAATTATCTAAAATGACTGAACCACGTTGTATATTTTACAAAGGTAACTGCAGGAGATGCAGTGTGTAGTCTCGGACACTGCAGGGTCTACTCCTTTCTCTTTGGCTTCCAGGGAGATTTAGAGGGCACCTGGTGGAAGCAAGCATTGTTTAAAAAGAACTTTCTGTTTTTTCCTTCTTAGAGATGTTAAGGTATTTTCACAAATCCTAGTCTTAGAATCCTAACTTTCATTTTTGTCAATTATTCAGATTTCTCTGAAATTTCTAAAGAATCTTTGTTTCTTTCTGATTTCTAACATAATATATCTTGTGTAACCTTCTGGATAGCCATCTCTCAGAAATAACCACTTTAACAGTTTAGTGTATACAGTTGTCCCTTGGTATCCATGGGGGTTTACTGCCGGGACCCCCCCCCAGATACCAAAATCTGCCCACGCTCAAGTAAGTCCCTTATATAAAATGGTGTACTATTTGCATATAACCTACATCTTCTCATCTACTTTAAATCATTTCTAGATTACTTACAACACCTAATACGATGTAAATGCTATGTAAATGTTGCTGGTGCTCAGCAAATTCAAGTTTTGCTTTTTGGAACTTTCTAGAATTTGGGGGGGAATATTTTCGAGCTGAGGTTGGTTGAATCCGTGGATTCGCAACCTGTGGATGTGGAGGGCTATGTACTGCTAGACTTTTTCTATACACATGTCTGTCTTGTCTGTTGCGCGCACACTCTCTCTGTGTATAAAATTATTTTTTTCTCTCGACGGGACTGTTGTTCTACAACTTGTTTTTCCTACTAAATAACATGAGAGTTCTTTCCTCGTCAGTACCTATACAAAGATCTTGTTCTTTTTAAAGGCTGCATAGAACTTGTCTATGGATATATGATTCCATACCGATGGATATTTGGGTTGTTTCTAATTTTTTAGACAAAATAAATAATGCTATAATTCTTTCAACAGCCAGTAAACAAATGTTTGACTCTTCTCTGTGCAGCAGGCACTGGAATGAACAGGGAGGGTGGATGATGTGCAGGAGCCTCGGCCGGCTGCCAGCTGAAACAATCCACCTCTTCACCAGCTAGTGCACGGCCACCAACTGTCCTGGTCCGCCATTTGTGGGGCTCGCCTCTCTAAGGAGACCCACCTTACAGCCATGTCCTAGCAGGTGGTGGTGTAGCAGTAGGGGCAGTAGTGTAGAGTCAGGATGGAGGTGGTGGCCACAGGCCTGACATCTGGGAAACATCGGCAACGCCCTGGTGCAGGCAGGCCCCGCCCCTTCCAGGTGTGACCCGGACCATTTAGTGTGCCTAGGACTGGCTTTCCAACCAAACCATGAGGAAAGGGATAAGAAATGGCTACTGCCCCTGCAGTGGGGTGAGCTCAAGGCAGGCCAACTTCCTCCTTCACCCAGTAAGAACTGGATTTAGCAATACAAACATTTCCTAAATCTGGGACTGCTATTAGCCTCATAATGAAACAGGAACCACTGTATACAGAAATAGCTATGAAGAGATTACAGAGCCTTGCAGTCCCAGACTTTTGGCTGGGTGCTAATGACTGAAAAAAGGAATTCCATTTGTGTTTTCTTTAAGTTTACCAAAATACTGAGTCTTCCTCACACTCCTATGTGTCATCTGCCAAAGCCATTACACCACCACCACCGTCAACCTGAGCAGCGGGCTCACCGCCTCAGGACCCCAGGCACTGCCTTTCCAAAGGGATGAGGTGGTCAGAAAGCTTCCTTACAAGACTATAGCTTTTTAAAAGGCGTTGTGAATGAAAGACCATTTGTCTGCCACCATCTAAAAAAAGGGAAGCGACAGAGAGAGAAAAGGTTAGGAGATGCTGTGCTGGATTGCAGCGAAGTAAAAGATAAAAAAAGGCATGGGGAGGAAGATTTGACTGAAATTCCTGGAGATAACAAAGTCTACCTACTTTCTTTTCCGATGTCTAACAACCCACCTCCATCACCACCACATATATTTTGCCCTTCTGAGGGGGTAAAGTCATGATAAGAAGCCGAATTCTAGAGAGTAAAGAAAATAATCCTCATGTTCCCTCCTCTTCCATCCCAATTAAGCTTATTGTGTGTTCTCTTTGAGCCCTTAGCAGAGTTTATTCCCTCTTGTCAGCGCTGAAGGTATTCACCGTCTACGCACCCCTTCTGGTGTCCCCAAGGTGCCACCTTGAACTGTACATCTGCTTCCTCCAACTTTTCCCCAGACCCATGGTTCTCAAACACTGGAGGGTAGGAGAGTCACCGAGGAGACTGTGACTTTAGCAGGCCAGCTGAGGCACTGTTACCAAGCGCCATGCCACATATTGTAAAACACTGTCCTAGACTTAGACTGTAAGTTCCTTGGGGCAGCAATCCTGTCATTCATTCCTGCAGCACTGACTAAGGGCC